ATCTATCATCTATCTATCTATCTCTATCTATCTATCTATCTATCTATCATCTATCTATCATCTATCTATCTATCATCTATCTATCTATCTCTATCTATCTATCTATCTATCTATCATCTATCTATCATCTATCTATCTATCTATCTATCTATCATCTATCTATCTATCTATCTATCTATCATCTCTCCCTCTATCTATCTATCTATCATCTATCTATTTATCATCTATCTATCATCTATCTATCTATCTATCATCTATCTATCTATTTATCATCTATCTATCTATCTATCTATCATCTATCTATCATCTATCTATCTATCTATCTATCTATCATCTATCTATTTATCATCTATCTATCATCTATCTATCTATCTATCATCTATCTATCTATCTATCATCTATCTATCTAATCTATCTATCATCTATCTATCATCCATCTATCATCCATCTATCATATTTCTCCCTCGCCCTCCCTCTTTCTCTCTCTCCCTTCCCCCTCCTCCTCCCTCCCTCCCTCTCTCTCTCTAATGTAGTTTATATAATGATTGGGGGGAGGATAACATATGGGCAATTCCATTTAAGAAGTCAATAAACAAATATATTTGGTTCAGGGTAATTGCAAATTCTCCCTTAGAGGAAGCCTTCATTGGAGATTAGTCCATGAACCAACGATGCATTGTCCTCTCCAAACAGCAGAGGGATTCCCATTGACTATAGAGAATCTCCCTACAAGGGCATCTTCTTTGAAGACGAAGCCATGGCAGTTTTGAAGTGTCGTGTGCATATTGAACACATTGAGCATGAAGTTTGTCTCTAAATGCTAATTTTTCAGATTGACGCGAGACAGTGAGGATGAAGATGAAGATGAGCGGAAGGGAAGAGGCTGCACCCTTCAGTACCAGCATGCCATGGTGCGGGTCCTCACTCAGTTTGTGGCGGAAGATGCCAGCCCATCAGGGCAGCTGTCCTATTTGTTGGGCTCCGACTGGCAGATGGACATAACAGATTTGGTGACGGACTTCATGAAGCTTGAGAAACCTCACGTGGCCCAGTTACAAGGAGGGAAGGTTCTGGTTGGGCAGGAAGTTGGCATGACAATGGTCCAGGTGAGTCTATCACGTTGGTAGGAGAACATTCCTGCTTTGATATTCCATTCTATAAAGATATTTGAGAGAAAGGGACAGTGAAACTTGGAAATTTACTAAGTCTGCATTACTATTACTATTAATCTTCTCATCGTTCCCATCACCCACCTCCTCCCACTTATGACTGCAGGACTGTGACTTTGTTGCTTGTATCCTTACGATTTATATGGATTGTTTCCTAATATGATTTGATTGCTTCTTTGTACCCTGTGACTATCATTAAGTGTTGTCGCTTATGATTTGTGACAAATGTATCTTGTCTTTGTGTACACTATTCTGCTCCTCTCTGCTCTGCCCTGCCCTGCCCTGTCCTATCCTGATTTCTCTTCCTATTCCTATTCTTCTATTCTATTCTACTCCTATTCCTATTCCTTTCTCTTCCTCTTCCTCTTCCTCTTCCTCTTCTCTTCTTATTCCCATTCCCATTCCATTCTATTCCTCTTCTCTTCTCTTCTCTTCTCTTCTCTTCTCTTCTCTTCTATTCTCTTCTATTCTATTCTATTCTATTCTAATGTTCCTAAGAGGATCTCTTTGTTGACTCCCAAAGGTCCTTTCTCCACTATCTGACTCCATTTTGGCTGAGAAGACTGTGATGGTGTTGGACGACAAGGTGACCATCACCGATATGGGAATCCAACTAGTAGCTGGGTTGTCCCTGGTCCTTCAGCCCAGCACAGCTAGTCATCAAGCTTTCGTGGCTACCACCATAGCTCAAGACTTGCTACACACTCACAAACAGGTAGAGCATTTTGGATTTTTCTGAGTCATTACACCTATGTCTCCAGAATCTCACTTCATCTTTAACCCACCAGTCCTTATCATCAAAAAGATACGGAGGGATGTATTCTGATCTAGGCTACCCAAGAACAGGAAGCAAACTCCTTGTCCTGACACAAAACCCCTTTTATTAATTTACTGTGAATTCTGCTCATTCACATCCAGCAAAGTCTTTCAGGGAAGGATTTACAGTCACAGACCTTATCTGGCTTGGAGAGCTGCCAGGCCGAGATCTGCAAAACTTGGCAAGGAGTCTTGGAGAGTCACGAACTAATGAAGTAAACTAATGGTCTCCTGCAAACTCCACTCCCCTTTCACTCTTCTTTTATTTCCTCTGGGAGGGGCCATTCATTGTCCACCTGTGGCCTTACTCCCAAGTTAACCCCTGTTCTTTAGCTCTTCCCTTCGTCTGGCAACTCTGTGCATGCGCACACTGGGAACAGGCTCCAGCTGTTCTTCTGCACTGATGCCTGACTCTAAAGGCAGCTGATAACTGTCAGACGGCTCTGGCCCCCTCTCTGCCTCCGACCCAGAGTCCTCATCAGAGCCTTCCCCAGACTCCAGGAGTGGCCCAAGTTCCTCCCCAGCCTCCTCACTGTACGAATCTCCTGCTAGCTCTGCTGGCCACTGGCAGGCCACGACAGGATGGAGCAATGAAACTGTTCCTCAAATGGGGAGAGTCATTACGCCTTCTTACTTTATGTCCCCCTCTAAAAGCTTACTTCTTCACAAATATCCCACAGAGGTCCAGGCATGTCCTTCCCAAGGCAGTGGTAAAACCTTTTAAGCTAAATGGGTATACATTTGTACCAATTGTTCCAAAAAAGAAAAGACCATTCTCATGTTTAAATGATGTTTGCGTCAAGGGACAAATCCTCTTAGAAGAGATTTTTCCCCCCCTCTGGCTATTTCCTACCTGGAAGGTATAATAATCCTTGAAGACCATTAAACTGAATGGCTCCCTTCTGCATTGCTTAAAAAGTATCAGATTTATTGATCGGTCCTATTGATTAAGCATTCCAGCCCTGTAAAGAGGCACTCTATTTCTCCTTCCCTTTACAGCTGATTTATGTCAGGAAACAACCATCTCCTTGAAAAGTTTCTAGAACAAGTAAAAAAAAAAACCACAATGATAGTATGGGCCAAAATGTTTGGCTATACCATAGAATTAGATAAATGGCAAAAACTTTGAGAGAGAAATTACAAAATGACAATGGCTGCTGCATATAAGGAAAATCTTTATAAAATGTTCTATAGGTGGCATTTGATACCAGCAAGACTAGCCAAAATGTTTAAAAATATGTCCACCAAATGTTGGAAACACAATCAGATTCCGGGTGCTTAGTATCACATGTGGTGGACATGTATGAAAGAAAGAAAATATTAGACGAAAATACACCCACAGCTGGAAAAGATGATTGTGCAGCATTACAGATTTAAAGCCAGAAATATTTTTGTTAGGTATAATACCAGAAAGTTATGGTTAAGCGACTAGACACTTAATGACACATGTATTGACAGCAGTGAGAATTGTACTTGCACAATATTGGGGAAAATGAGAACACCCCACCAGATGAAAACATAGCTCGGAAAATATTGGACTGTGCAGAGATGGATAGATTGACATTGAAAAGAAAAGATAAAGGAGATACAGAGTATTCAACATAGAACAGGTTTTATCAATGGTTAGAGATGAGAGGCAGAAATTAGATGAAGAAAGATTATTGTTATGTATAACTAAAATATGAATGTTCTTTTATAATTATAAGTAAGATAAAGGTAAAGGTTCCCCTCGCACATATGTCCTAGTCATTCTAGACTCTAGGAGGTGATGTTCATTCCTGTTCCAAAACCAAAGAGCCAGCGCTGTCCAAAGACATCTCTGTGGTCATGTGGCCAGCATGACTAAACCCCGAAGGCACCTTCCCATCCCAGTTGTTCCTTATTTTCTACTTGCATTTTTACATGCTTTCGAACTGCTAGGTTGGCAGAAGCTGGGACAAGTAATGGGAGCTCACTCCATTATGCGGCGCTAGGGATTGAAGCCGTCAAACTGATCGATAAGTTCAGTGTCTTAGCCACTGAGCCACTGTGTCCCTATAATTGTTATAATTTAAAAAAAAGAAAGAAAAGTCAGTAGGCTTTCACCAGATTCATGAACCTCAAAGCTAGAATGGAATAACAACTTGAGAAAATAAGAGTTACGGATAGTAACTTGGGAAACATACATAAGGGAAGTCCTTGACTTTCCAACTGTCTGTTTAGTGGTGATCTGAAGTTAAGAGACCTCGGAAACAGTTGGGTCCCAGTAGTAAGTGGGATTCAACTGTAATAATTATTAATTATTAATCAATAGCAATAATTCCAAAACCTGGAATTAAGGAGAAACTTCCTCACAGTGAGGCCGGTGAACCAGTGGAACAGTTCACCTTCAGAAGTTGTGAGTACTCCATCACAGGAGGGTTTTAAGAAAAGACTGGACAGTCACTTGTCTCAAATGGTACAGGGTCTTCTGCTAGAGCAGGAATTGGACTAGGAGACCTCGAAGGTCCCTTCCTTCTCTATTCCGAACTTGAATTTAGTTGGGTCCCAAACAGTTGAGTCACAATTCATAAAACCAATGCAATCCTAAATTGTATTAAGGGTTTCAGTCAAGATCAAGGGAGGCTCCATAAAGCCTTAGTAAGACCACACCTAGAGTACTGCATCCAGTTTTGGTAACCACACTATAAAGAAAATGTTGAGACTCTTGAAAGAGTGCAGAGAAGAAGACTAGGGGACTGGAGGCTAAAACATATGATGGACAGTTGCAGGAACTGGGCCTGGCTAGTCTAGTGAAAAGAAGGACCAGGGGAGACAGGAGAGCAGTCTTCCAATATTTGAGGGACTGTCATAGAGAGGAGGGAGGGTCAAGCTATTTTCCAAGGCCAGACAAGGTATAATGGATGGAAACTGATCAAGGAGAGAGTCGACCTGGAAATAAGGGAAAATTTTCTGACAGTGAGAGCAATCCGCCAATGGAACAGAAGTTGCCTTTGGGTGTTGTGGGAACTTCATCACTGGAAGCTTTCAAGCAGAGATTGGACTGCCCTCAGTCAGAAATGGTGTAGGGTCTCCTGCTTGGGCGGTGGGGGTTGGACTAGATGACCTACAAGCTCCCTTCCAACTCTGTTAATCTGTATCTGTAAGACGTCACATTATCTCTGCGGTCACAACATTGCAATTCAGGCACTTGACAACTGATTTAGAAAGTCATGTGGTTGTACTCTATTTTTTATTTTGCCAAGGTAGAGTCTGCTTCCTGTCTGGACTATGTCAAAAACTTAACACATGCAATGTGTTTTCTTTTTCACTGGTCCATTTTCCATGAAAACTAGCGAGCTGTTCAACTGACATCTCAGAAGGCAGAAGGCGTTTGACCTTGTTTTAACTATTTCCTTTTGTTTTCTGCTAGGAGGCCATGGTGAGCTCCTGGATCCAATTCAGTGATGGTGCTGTGACCCCACTGGACATCTATGACCCCAGAGACTTTTCCCTCTCTGCCTCCTCACTTGATGAATCAGTTGTTACAGCTCATCAGAGCTCTGCGGTCAAATGGCCAGTGGTGGTAGCAGAAGGGGAAGGAGAAGGCCTCTTGGTCAAAGTCGATATGATGATCTCTGAATCTTGCCAGAAGTCCAAGCGGAAGAGTATCCTAGCAATTGGCAATGGAAACATCAAAGTCAAGTTTGGCCAGAACGATGGCAACCCCCATAGTCTTGGGGATTACAGTGCTGAGGAAATTGAAAACCATGCCAGTGACCGGAGGCAGAAGGTGTTGGACCAAGACCACCATGGCCAGGAAGGACAATATTATAGAAGCTCTTCTGCTGAACGAGAAGAAAGTCCTGCAAGGAAGAACGGTGTGACAGCCAAGTCTACAACCAAAAACAAAGTCTTCAAAAGTATCCCCGAAGGAGATAAACTTTCAGATGAAGGTCTACTCCAGAACATCCCGATTGACTTCACCAACTTCCCGGCTCAGATCGATCTTCCCCATAGCAATAATGGCATGAAGGACAACGACCTGGTTGAGACACCTAGAGGTCTCAGTGACTTGGAGACGGGGATGTATGCCCTGTTAGGAGTCTTCTGCCTCGCCATTCTGGTCTTCCTAATCAACTGTGCCACCTTCACATTGAAGTACCGTCACAAGCAGCTTCCCATGGAAGGGCAGACCTCCATGAACCACTCTCATGACTGGGTGTGGCTTGGGAATGAAATGGAGCTGTTGGACAACCCAGCAGATGTCTCGCCTCCGCCGGATGAGTGCACCACGATCATAGACCAAGGGATAGGCTTTGACATGGGCAGTCAACTCCTCGTTGGCACTCCAAAAAAACTCCCGAGTCAAAGCAGTCCCAAAATTCAATTGGGAGACAAGCAAATCAGGGACCTGAAGCAGGAAAATCCTCTGCATTCGCCTGCCTCCAAGCGGAAGCGGGTCAAGTTTACCACATTCACCACCATCCCTCCTGATGATGGTTGCCCCACCGTCAATTCCATCCTCAATTGCAATGAAGATGACATTAAATGGGTTTGCCAAGATATGGATCTGGGAGAATCGAAACAGATCAGGAACTATCTGGAGAAACTCAAAGACAAAATGTAGCATCACTCCTTGGTTTTAAGAGTCAACAGCCACACCTTGATGCCTTCAGATGCATTGAAATATGTGAATAAACAAATATATGCATGAACTGGAGTGGGGACTGAGTAGGTGATGTGTAGGACCAATTTTGATAGCCCAGCAGATACGTTCTTTGATAAACCCAGCTAGGCAGCAATGTCTAATCAAGCTGGACTGATTGCAGGGGGCAAAAAAACAGTTGGACTTGGTTAATCCTTAGATAGAACATCATCAATATGTTCTTGGGCTGTAGGCCCTACTGGGAAGTAATAAAACACAACCAGAAAGAGACAACAGCAAATTACTTCCACATTGTTGCCAACTATACTACATGGATGTTTTCATAAAAAGTTAATTCCATGTTTATTTGTTAAAGCATATTTGCTAATGTCTATGGAGATTCTCAGTCCTCCAGGTCATGGTTGTCCCAAAGGTGCTTTTTCAAGAGGCAACTGGAGTTTCTTGTTTTTTCTTTAAACATGTTTCGCTTCTCATCCAAGAAGCTTCTTCAGCTCTGAAGAAGCTGAAGAAGTTTCTTGGATGTCGATGCCTTGTGATTTCTCCCACATCCCATCCTCTTCAGACCAAATGTGTCAGTTTGCTGCAGAAATCAAATCCAGAAAGCACATACAGGTGACTGAGTCAACAGGATTCATTAACTTCTTTATACACATAATAACACATGAGTAAATGTACAATACCAATAGTGGATTCTTCCAATGTGGTAGTCGTTACAAGCAAAACACAGGAGAGGTTGGTTTTCAGTTTCAGTTCAGAAAGCAGACTAGACTAGTTCTCTTGCACAGATTCAGAGGTCCATAGGTAAGCCATGCCCAGGCTCCGAGCCATCTGGCATGGCTCTCAATCATCAAATAGTTCCCGTTGGCTGACTCAGTTGCCATGCCTATACATTGGCTGACCTTGTTACCATGTCCTATTCCAGCCAGTCCCCAATGGCTGACATGTTGCTATGTCCTATTCCAGTTCATGAATATCCTGACAAAATGTTTTTAAGGTCAAATGGAAGTTCCCAAGCAATAGCTGGTGGATAGGTAGGGCAGGATGTCATTACGAATCAAAAGGTTGGGTTTGGAGAGATTATCAAGTGCAAAGTAACCAAAAGTATTCTTTTTTTTAGAGAGGAATCCAAGTGGATAGTAGAGATAAAAGGCCGCACACTTTTTAGACGTCTTGTAAAGGTTTGAAAAGGGATGCGGTGGCTCAGTGGCTAAGACACTGAGCTTGTCAATCAGAAAGGTCAGTAGTTGGGTGGTTCGAATCCCTAGTGAGCTCCCGTTACTTGTCCTAGCTTCTGCCAACCTAGCAGTTCAAAAAATGCAAGTAGAAAAATAGGAACCACCTTTGGTGGGAAGGTAACAACTTTCTGTGCACTTTTGCATTGAGTCATGCCGGCCACATGACCATAGAGACGTCTTTGGACAGTGCTGGCTCTTTGGCTTTGAAACGACTAGCACATATGTGCAAGGGGAACTTTCCCCTTTAACTTTAAAGGTTTGAAAAGTCTTGAGATCTAAAGAAACCTTGAGGGAGTTATCATGGTGGACTTCCCATTCCTTGAAATGAAGAAAATTGGGGATGATGCCTTGTGCAAGAGATTGAAACTGGGCTCATGTTTGGATTCAGCCGCATTTTTCCTTTGAAGGAACACATATGGAAATTTGCTTCTCCTTATCGTGCCTCTTTCTTTCCCCAACAGCCATTTAGGTCAGAGGAGACTTATTTTACAGAGATTCCAATCCCAAAGCTTCCCATTGG